CGAGGTCAGGAGTTCGAGACCAGCCTGGCCAACAGGGTGAAACCCCATCTCTACTAAAAATGCAAAAAATCAGCTGGGCTTGGTGGCAGGTGCCTGTAATCCCAGCTACTCAGGAGGCTGGGGCAGGAGAAACATCGCTTGAACCCGGGAGGTGGAGGTCACAGTGAGCCGAGATCGTGCCACTGCACTCCATCCCAGGCGACAGTGCGAGACTCCATCTCAAAAAAAAAAAAAATCTATAAAATTGCTATTTATTTTCCTTTTCATTTTCTGCCTTTGAAGGAGCTTCAATAGTAACGTGTCCTTCCAGTCGCCTAGCCTGAAGGGAGGCCCCAGAGCTCCAGCTTCAAGGCTCGGCTCTCCGAGATGCAAGTATCGTTAGACTCTCATTGGTTACCGCCGCCGAGCCCCTTGTAACCCTGGCAACACTGCCCGCCCGCGAATCCTCGCGCTACGATTGGTCCATGGCGCTAAAGCCTGAACGTGAATTCCTCAGACATTGGCCCGAGTCACTGCGATGTTGACACCGTGGTTGGTGAGTTTGGATGTCAGTCAGAGTCGGAGGCAGGGTCAAATAGGGAGAAATGGCGACGGAGCCAGGCTGTGGGTGAGTGATTCCTGAAGGGGTGGAAGTGTGAGACAGTGGATCACCGCAGTCAGCCGTCATACAGCTCCCAAAGGGGTGTGAGGGAGGTTTTCTTCTCATCCGGCTCCAGCCGGACTCGGAACGTCAGACATCCACATCTCCCACCCAGGTTAGAGGTGAGAGGTCAAAGGCCGTATTCCCTCTCTGTTGGTTTTTGGACCCAGGTACTGTGGACAGCGGTCAGGATCCGGAACCAAAGACTCAGCTTTCAGCTACTTACAGAGTAATGGTGGGCAAGTCATTTAGCTTCTTTGAGCTTTAGTTTATCATCTGTAAAATGAGGACGGTAACTCGGTCTGGGGCCAAATAGAGGAAACGCTGGAATAGACCATTGCTGCTAAAAGAGGGATATAGTAGAGGCAGGAGAAGCTATGTACATTTGTTAGCCATATTTTATGGTGGAAGGGATTGAGGCTCAGAGAGGGTCACTGACTTGCCCAAGATCACACAGCAAGTTTGGAGCAATTGCAGTTCAAGTCTTATGCATACCAGGACCAAAGGAAAGAATGGATGCCGATCAGTCATTTATAAATATAAAATCATATTTTTATTTTATTTTATTTTTTGAGACGGAGTTTCACTCTGTCACCCAGAGCTGGAGTGCAGTGGCGCAACCTCGGCCTCCTGGGTTCAAGCGAGTCTCCTGCCTCAGTCTCCGGAGTAGCTGAGACTATAGGCATGGGCCACCATGCCCGGCTAATTCTTTTTGTATTTTTAGTAGAGACAGCGTTTCACCATGTTGGCCAAGCTGGTCTGGAACTCCCAACCTCAAGTTATCTGCCCACTTTGGCCTCCCAGAGTGCTGGGATTACAGGCATGAGCCACTGCACCTGGACAGAATGCTATTTTTTTTAAAAGGCCATATGCAGCTCTGGCCGTACCTATTTAAATCCCCTGTAACCATATCTTTCCATAGCTAGCTTCTTATCATTTAGATCTCAGCTCCAATATCATCCTTCTCCCCTGAGAGGCCTTCCATTAGCACTTTAACTAAAGTATCCCTCCCTTCCCCAGCTTACTCTCTGACATGTTACTCAGGTTTATGGTCCTTGTAAGCTTCATTATTGGATATATTTTTGCTTATTTGTTCACATGTTTATTCACATGTTTATTATGTATCTTCCCCTAGAACAGTGCTGACATATAGTAAGTGTTCAACAAATATTGTGTGGATGAATAATTGAAGAGCCAGGTGCCTGCTGTCTCCTTAAACCTCTGTTCCTCTCCATAGGCCCGTCTTTGGAAAAAGATCTGGGAATGATTGTCTAGCCTCAAGCCTCAACTTACTTGAAGCTTGAGAGACTCAAAGCCTCATGGACAGCTGCCCTGCAAAAAAAGTATTTTGACCTTGGCATTTGGACATCTCCCATCTCCCCCATGGCCCTGACAATGCTGAATGGGCTCCTGATTAAGGACTCAAGCCCACCTATGCTGCTGCACCAGGTTAATAAGACTGCCCAGTTAGATACCTTCAACTACCAGAGCTGCTTTATGCAGAGTATCTTTGACCATTTCCCTGAGATCTTATTTATCCACCGGACCTATAACCCAAGGGGTAAGGTCTTATATACCTTCCTGGTGGATGGACCTCGGGTGCAGCTGGAGGGTCATCTTGCCCGAGCAGTCTACTTTGCCATCCCTGCCAAGGAGGACACTGAAGGCCTGGCCCAGATGTTTCAGGTATTCAAGAAGTTTAACCCAGCATGGGAGAGAGTCTGTACCATCCTGGTGGATCCCCATTTCCTTCCACTGCCCACCCTAGCCATGGAGTTCCCCGCAGCTGAGGTCCTGCTCTCAGCCTTCCACATTTGTAAGTTCCTCCAGGCCAAGTTCTATCAGCTGTCCCTTGAACGACCCATGGAAAGGCTGCTCCTGACCTCCCTGCAGAGCACAATGTGCTCAGCCACAGCAGGCAACCTGAGAAAGTTGTACACACTTCTGAGCAACTGCATCCCCCCAGCCAAGCTGCCCGAGCTTCACTCACACTGGCTGCTCAACGACCGCATCTGGCTGGCTCACCGCTGGAGAAGCCGAGCTGAGAGCAGCCGCTACTTCCAGAGCCTCGAGGTCACCACCCGCATCCTCAGCCAGTTCTTTGGCACCACCCCATCTGAGAAACAAGGTATGGCTTCTCTGTTCCGTTACATGCAGCAGAACTCTGCAGACATGGCAAACTTCAACCAGGGCCTGTGTGCCCAGAACAATCATGCCCCCTCAGACACCATCCCCGAAAGCCCCAAAGTGGAGCAGCTGGTAGAATCCCATATCCAGCACTCCCTTAATGCCATCTGCACAGGGCCAGCAGCCCAACTCTGCCTGGGCGAGCTTGCTGTGGTCCAGAAATCCACACACCTCATTGGCTCTGGCTCAGAAAAGATGAACATACAGATCCTGGAAGATACCCACAAGGTGCAGCCCCAGCCCCCTGCCAGTTGCAGCTGCTACTTTAACCAGGCCTTCCACCTGCCCTGCCGCCACATCCTAGCCATGCTCAGCGCCCGCCGCCAGGTGCTCCAGCCCGACATGCTGCCGGCTCAGTGGACGGCAGGCTGTGCCACCAGTCTAGACAGCATCCTGGGCAGCAAGTGGAGTGAGACCCTGGATAAGCACCTGGCAGTGACTCACCTCACTGAGGAGGTGGGTCAGCTGTTGCAGCACTGCAGCAAGGAGGAGTTTGAGCGGAGGTACAGCACCCTGCGGGAACTGGCTGACAGCTGGATTGGGCCTTATGAGCAGGTCCAACTCTGATTATTCTCGATGCCCAGAGATGCTCAAGCACCTGTGCACACTGCACACTCACATCCATCTGTACACACACACACACACACATATACACACACACTCTCTCTCTCTCTCTCTCTCACTTATACTGTTGTATTTCCGTGGGCCCTCCTTCTAGAATAAGGACAAGGTTCAAAGGTCTTCTCATCTACCATGGCCTGCTACCTAGCATGTGTCTAGCTCAATGAGACAGGAGTCAGCAGATCTTATCTGTTTAGTTTACTCAGGTGGCCACATACAGTCTCTATTGTATATTCTTGGTTTTGTTTTAACATTTTCATAAGGTAAAAAACATTCTTAGCTCAAAGGTCTTATAAAAACAGGCAATCCAGCTGGGCGTGGTGGCTCACGCCTGTAATCCCAGCACTTTGGGAGGCTGAGGTGGACAGATCCCTTGAGGTCAGGAGTTCAAGACCAGCCTGGCCAACATAGTAAAACCCCGTCTCTACTAAAAATACAAAAATTAGCCAGGCATGGTGGCGGGCACCTATAATCCCAGCTACTCAGGAGACGGAGGCAGGAGAATCGCTTGAACCCGGGAGGTAGAGGTTGCAGTAGGCCAAGATCCTGCTGCCACTGCACTCCAGCCTGGGAGGGAGAGACTCCATCTAAAAATAAAATAACGGCAACCCCTGGTCTAAGATAAGAGATAAAACATCAGGTTGAGGTTTGGGGCGTGGTAGCAATTGCCCTAGTCATGAGATGACTCACTTAACCCATCTCCTTTGAGTGAACTGGGCTGGGAGGCTTCCTACAGGGGAAGAGGCCCCTCTGGGGAGCTGGCTCAGCCAGGCTCCCTGAACTTCTTTCCTTGTCCTATCCTGGGGTCAATAAAACTGAATGCTGCATATTCTGTCACTTGTCTAGTTTTTTTTTGTTCCATAGAGGGCAGTTTAGGGTATATCATGGAAAGAATAGACTTTAGAGTGTTATACAACATGTGAATCCTGGTTGATTCCTTCCCTGCTTGATTTTTGTGCCTGGTTCTGCCTTTTACTAGCCATGAGTCTTATTAGGGTAAGTTACCCCTCTAAACCTCAACCTGATTGTCTGTAAAAATGGGGATTTCCACAGGGTACGTTTACAGAGCAGGCATACCTAGTGGGTACTCAATTAAGTATTAATTTATCTTCCTTGCCTATGGTCCTATGATCTGCTTTCAACATGCTGGAAAATTTAAGGCAAGAGGAGAATTCACATGACTAGGACTTAATATAAGAAATTCTGGTCAGGTGTAGTGGCTCACACCTGTAATCCCAGCACTTTGAGAGGCCAAGGCGGGCGGATCACCTGAGGTCAGGAGTTTGAGATCAGCCTGACGAACATGGTGAAACTGTGTCTCTACTAAAAATACAAAAATTAGCCGGGCGTAGTGGCAGGCACCTGTAATCCCAGCTACTCGAGAAGCTGAGGCAGGAGAATCGCATGAACCTGGGAGGCGGAGGTTGCAGTGAGCCGAGATCGCGCCACTGCACTCCAGCCTGGGTGACAGAGCAAGGCTGTCTAAAAAATAAAAATT